CATGGCAGTATAGCCTTCTCTGCCACAAGGCCTTCACCTGGATAGTCCTTATGCGTATGAATTCCACTGGGTAATGGCCAGTGTGTAAGCCATTATTCTTGAACTTACATGTAAACTTGTGGTGATGTGGCCGTTTTCAGTGATATGCTTTCAAATTATATTATTTGTGATCATTCTATCCTTCTTCATCATATGCATTTTCACATCTGCTAGATATCTCTTAAAACATGAAAATACCATATTGAGTTGAATTTTGAAAACACAAATTACCACAAAACAATGGAAATTTTCCTGCATAAAGTATCTGGGTGACAGACATTTTACCCAACAGTGACTGTAATGCTTGGCTATGGTGCTAGAATTCTACATGGGCACTGGTCTGAGACCTGGTTGCAGAGAGAAAGATGGGAGGGAAAAGTAAAGAGGGAGGAAGAGTGAGAGAGAGGAAGAGAGGTCCCATGAGCCGGTTCACTCCTCAAATGCCTGCAAGAGCCAGGGCTGACCTGGGCTGAACTCAGGAGTCTTTAAATAAACCTGAGTATCCCAGATGAGTGGCCGAAATCCTCATACTTATAACATCACCTGCCATCACCCAGGAGTTGAGAAGCTGGAACAGGGTATACACCAGGACCCAAATCCAGGCATAAGGGAGGCAGGCATCCGAAGTGATCTTAATCACTGAACCAAAGATGTGTCCCTGTTTTTAATTTTCTCTCCCATTTTTACATTTTTTAAGATTTATTTTATTTTTATTTGAAAGTCAGATATACAGAGAGGAGGAGAAACAAAGAGGAAGATCTTCTATCAGTTGATTCACTCCCCAATTGGCCAAAACAGCTGGAGCTGAGCTGATCCAAAGCCAGTTTCCTTCAAATCTCCCATGAGGGTACAGGGTCCCAAGGCTTTGGGCCATCGCTTCTATTTTCCCAGGCCACGAGCATGGAACTGAATAGGAAGCAGGGCTGCTGGGATTAGAACTGGCATCCATATGGGATCCCATATGGATGCAAGGAGAGGACTTTAGCCACTAGGCTACTGCGCCAGGCCCCAAGTCTTTTTGATCTGTTGATTGTACCTAAACTCATAGCATGCTGGTCTTCATCTTGGCTTGGTGCTCCTATTCCCTAGAATAGTACCTTTTTGTTAAAATAATTATTTTTATTGGAAAAGCATATTTAGAGAGAAGCAGAGACAGGAAAGTCTTCCATCTGTTGGTTCACTCCCAAGTAGCTGTAATAGCCAGGGCTGAGCCATTCCGAAGCCAGGAGCCAAGAGTTTCCTCCAGGTCTCTCATGTGGGTGTAGAATCCTAAAGCTTTTGGGGACAACCTCTGCTGCCTTCCCAGGCCACAAACAGTGGAACAGCCAGGACACCATCCAGTGCCCATAAGGGATCCAAACTGGTGCCCACATGGGATCCCAGGGCTTGAGTGGGGAGGATTGGCCAACTGAGCCATTGCAACCTGGTTCTAGCATACTATCTTTCTATTTGATATCCTTGATGTTATTATAGATGTAGTTTAGTGGTCATTTTATTAGGTCTTTGCGCAGTACTTTGTTATTTCATGTTCAATTCCCCTTTTTTTGTTGTTGTTTTTGTTACTATCTTTCTCTCCCCTGTAGAATATAAGCCACATGAGCTCAGGAATATTCTCCATTCACTGCACTTACCTCTCTGCCTGGAATAGCACCTTCCATACGGTCAGTATATTGACTGTCTACTGGATAGTCAAATAAGTAGTTACCGATGTTAACTGAAGGGCAAAACAAAGTATGATGGTCTGTTTAAGTTGATGTTTTTAAAATGTAAGCATTTATGTTTCAACAGGTAGACTGACACTTCATCTTAACCTTGTTCTATTTTGCAAAAACTATGTGAATTAAGAAAGATAATAGGTTATCTGGAATCAGTCAAAAATAATTTCCTGCACTCAGGCTGAAAGAATTCCAGTTTGAAGCTGCTATTTTTCTCATATGAAATTGTGCTTATTATACCCCATTTATAATCTAACCAAACACATTTTCTTGATATGCTAATGCTTTATGCAAACCTCCTCTTTGATTTTGTCATATAATTGTAAAAGATTCATTTAAATGAATCAGACCTGAACGTAGCTTTGAACAAATTTTCTAACAAGAACAAATTTTGTATTTCACAAAGTAGGCAATTGTTTTAACATTAACTTGTATTTACACAGAACTTTTGTCTTCTGACCTAACTTACCTTCATGCACTTTCTCAGAATGTCTCACCCACAATGAATGAAAAGACACACACACACACAGATGCACACACGCAACTGAAATTAATGACTGAAATCACAAAACCTTCAGGAAGACAGAGAAGTGGGATGTTTCTCAGTGGAAGTCACAGGGACTCTGGCACTCAAGTGCCACTATTTCTAAGCAAGTTGCCTAGCCTCTGTAAGCCAGAGTGACTTATCTCCCAAATGGCACAGGAATATCCACGTTTGGGGGTTGCAAAGCAAGGAATAGAGAGATCAATCCAGCATGAAGCCTAGCACATAGAGTGCTCAACATATACCTACTGAATTAATTACATTTGAAATATATTACTAAACTAAATTACTAATGTTATGTAATGGAAAAGTGTAGTGATTACATAACTAGATAGCTAAGATGAAAGTATAATTAAAGATATTTTAACAATTCTCTGATTAACACACAACAGAGGCAGCAGTGTGTGAATAAGTCAAGTGTCTTGACCTTAATAAAACATGGCTTGGTTAGGGATTGAAGGGGCACTTACTCCTGAGACCTGGGCATGGATACAGCCATACAAGCCAAAGAGCTGAAGGAACTCTTGTTTTATCTCTGCATTTTCGTAAAATAGATTCACAAGTATTATTGGAGAGTCAGTATATTGTATAAACAATTCTAACACATAATGAATTATTATTATTCCTTCTCTAAACCTGAGTCAGCATTGACCTACCAGTACTAGAAATAATAACTGATGAAACTATGGCGATTTGTGTTTCCCCTACTTTCTCTTTGAATCCAAAAGATAAAACCACACAGAGTCATCATAAAGGAATGATGCAGTGAGCCTCCCATTAGGGAGCACATGGTGTAAGGCCAGAAACACGTCATGAAATGCTTGGGCAGCCACCTGAAAACAACGACAAAAAGTCAACCTCAGAAACCTCATAATCTAATTTATGTTGAAACAGGTAGAATGATGACTTTTAAACTTAGGAATCAAGCCACTGAAATACATATTTCTAATTAAATATGTTATTTGCAGAACATTAGTGACCAAGGGATTTGTGCAGTTGTTTTATCCTTAATTATGGAATGAGCTCTGGTATTTAGTACAAAGCCCAAGAACACACTCTGATATCAGTGAGCACAATTCAACTTGGTGTTGCTTAATGCTACAGACATGAATAATGATCACCAACCAGAATTATTTCTTCCTCCTCTGGCTTCCCACAGCACTTCCTTTCTATAATGGCACAGAATTGCATGGCTTGCTTACAATCTGTCCCCTCCCTGGGACTGAGCAGGGTCCACAGAGGGCCATATCTCACGAAGTTGCTGCAGTCAGTATTTAACGCAATGCTTGCCATGCTGTTCAGGTAGCAGGAATGTTTATCAGAATAAATGTCTTTTTTTTTTATTGCTTTCAAAGCACATGCACATGTATGATGCCAGCAGATACCCAGAACACTGAGTGTGGCTGCAAGGCAGAAAATTCTGCACAGCTCCTGCTTGACTGACAGGTAATCTGAAGGTCACTGAGAGATTATGTGACGTCTGAAGGGCACATCATTCAATGTTGAATTTCAAATTGTAAGAGTTTTTTGAATAATACAAAATGAAAGCAACATGTCAAACTGTTTTACACACGTCTACAGGGGTCTGTGAAGAGTATGCGTGGCCCATCGTCTCCATCTTTGTCCTCGCTGCTGAAATGTGACTTCTCTTATTCATCTGATAGGAAAGACCTTCAGAAACCATCCATATGTAATTAGACAAAAACGGCATCGATCACATGCAAATATGTTGGTTGCTGCAAAGCAGTTGTCCGCCTTTAAGAGTTTACTGCTAGCCACCCAATTCAGCTCTCTCACAGGGGAGGGGAAGGCGACAGATTTGTCATTGCAGTCCCACACTCACAGTCCTGCCCATTCTGCATAGAGAAGCTTCTCTGTAAGTTCACTATCAGGCAATCGTGCTGAGGCCGTGAGAAAACCATTGTCTGTTGGGGCAGAAGGGTCGCAGCCAGGGCTGGAAGGCTGCAGCGGTGGACTCCTGGTCAACTGACTCTAAAGCCAGCCGTTTAAATAACAGCATCTCCCACTAGATCCCAAGCTTCAAGAGGACAGACTGTTAAACCCCCAAATTAGGGAATGGCACGTGGTGGGTACCATCCTCAGCTCAATTTCGGGCACTCCTGTTAACTTATCAGTAGTACCACCTTTGGTTAACAGCTAGTTACACCTCAGTGTGAAAAAGTGCTAGGTGCATCTTTCATAAACTTTATTACAAAAACTGACTTGCTTATTTTTAAAAAATTTATTGGGCTTGACAGCAAAGGTAAATTATCTTGCTAGCTCAGCTGGACCTACGGATGGAACTCAGGAGTTACATCAGTTATGTAGTGTACTGTTAAAAGTCAACATTCCAAAAAAAAATACTTTAACAGAAATTAACAGCAAGTATGTCATCAAAGGCCAGCATGATGCCCAAGAAACCAGAAGCAGTTTGTCTCTAAAGAGGATGGGATAACTCTCTTGGTAATTTCTCTGCATCCAAAAGAAAAAAGGAACTCACCTCCCCCCTCCCCCACCTCAAGCCTCCACTCCCCCCACCCCCGCACAAATACTCCAACCATTTTCTCCAGGTGGAAAGTTGAAAGAGAGCAACGTGCCAGCTGCACCTACCCAGCGCTCCCAGGGGTAGAAGAGCAAAGTTCTAGGGCACAGCCTTCCTTCCCAGAGCCCCAGAGCCAGGCGCACTCGGCTACCTGCTCCGCGCAGCGCCGCGCCGGAGGAGCTGCCGCGGCGGAACAGTTGCGTCTCCATCTGGCCACCAACCCACCCAAGCTTTCTTCGCCTTCACCACCACCTTCCTTCCCCAGCCCCCAACCCCCCTTCGCCCTCTCCTTTCCGTCTTCCCTCTCCACCCCCGCCCCTAGTCTCCTCCTCTTTTTCTCACTACAAGCGGCCGCTGATGCTGAAGCCGAGCGTCACTTCGGCTCCCACGGCAGACATGGCGACATTGACAGTGGTCCAGCCGCTCACTCTGGACAGAGGTAAGGGAGCCGTTCGCCCGCCAGGCCAGGCGCCCCTTCTGCTTCCTCATCAGCCCCTGCCAAGTCCCCCCCCCGCCTCCGGGACAACGGGACGCGTCAGGCAGAGCCAAGACAGACAGAGGCTGGAAGGCGTCTGCTCTGCCGAGCCCAGGATACTTTCTTCGCCTTTCTCTCACGGCCACGTCCCCGCTGCCCCTTCCCGGGGACCCGGCCCGGCTGAGGGGCGTCTTCGCCCAGCTCTGGCGCCCCCGCCGCCACTCCCAGTCCGTCTCCCGGTTGCCCCCAGGCCGCCGGCTTTGTTGGAGCGGATGCGCTGGGGGAAAGCGCTGGGCGCCCGGGGCTCCGGGTTGCTCAAAGGGGGCAGAGAGAGAAGGTTCGCCCGGCCGGCCGAAGGCGAGGCTGGTCAGGGAGCCGCCTGCCAAGGCTGCGCGGCCCGCGGACTCGGGAAGAAGGAAGTTTGTCCGGGCGCCTGACGGGGCGAGGGTCAGGAGGGCTGCTGGTGCTCTGGTGGTCGCCCTGGGGCAGGCGGGGCGCTCCCCCGGGGTGGCTGGGCGCACGGGGCCGGGCTGCCGCGGCGGGGAGCTGCCCTCTGCCGGAAGGGCAACGCGGAGCGCCGGAGCCCGTGCCCTGGCTGGGGGGCGGTTGGCGCGGCTGCTGCCCCTGCGGCGGGGTCGCCCCGTTCCCCGGCCGCTGACAGCTCCCAGGCGGCGGCGCCGCGTTTCTCCCGCCCTAGCCAACCTTGCTTCTCTCACAGCCTGGTTGCTGCCGCCGAGCTGCCCCAGGGGCTGCGGAAAGCGCAGGTTGCAAAGCGCAGGTTGGATAAAAAATTCAACGTGTGACCTCCTACCCTGTGAGAGAACGGTGACCTCTGACTGGAACTGACAGACGGTGTTGGCTTGGCCCTCAGGACCCCGGCCCGTGCCGCCGGTCCCTCCAGCTGAGAGAGCGCGGTCCTCGGCCGCGGCCGGCCTTCCGGGCGCACTCGCGCGCGCGGGGTTGCACCTGTCCCCGGGTGCTCGGGCTTCCTGTCTGGCTTCACCTTCTAGTTGTGGAGATGCTGGGATCCCACGGCTCACTGGCGGAGGAGGGAAGCTCCACGCCAGTCGTGCTCCACTGCGGCTGGACTTAGGACCCTGAGCGGCTATCTGGAAATAGTGTGCTGGGGTGGCTGGGGAGGCGGGGTATGATTTAGTTCAATGTACCTCTAGAACTATTCTTGCTAGCAGATTAAACTGGACTCTCGGGCAAGGAAAAAAAAAAAAAAAGCCTCCAGCTGCTAGTCCTGTAAAAAACCAGGCACCTCAGTCCGGGATTTTTACTTTGGAGAAATAGTGGATGATTTAACTCAATCTGTTGATGTCAGAAGAGATGTTGTATGGAGCCCATGATAACCTGACTCGGAATAAGAGTAGTAAATAGTAATAGCAAAAACAATAATAATAAAAATGTTTTACTTTAGAAGATGTTGATGTGCATACCAGCACATGTGTAACTGTAGTTAAAGAGCTCAGAGATGTGTTGTATAATCCATGATCCCCTCTTCTCTCCCCCCATGCCATCAGCAGCACTAAGCAGGATAAATCCATCGTCGGTAAGAGCCAACCAGATGGGAAGCTATTAGAAACTATGGATTTTCCAAGTCTTTCTCTGTTAATGTGATGAGCTCTTACGTTGTCCCATTACAGAAATCACAGTCATTAAGCATCCCAAGTGAAAAGATGATCTTAGGTGCAAAATTTCCAGAAAATTGCATGCCTGAATAATCGTATACACTACTCTTCCTCCTACTACTACAAATGTCACACTTTTTAGATTTTGCCTTTGCCCTAAGATGCCTCAGCCACTTATGAAAAGGAGATACTAATTAAATTCATTCTTTAAAAATATATTTATTTATGCTACATCAACATTAAAAGAGAGAGAGAGAGACACATGTTGCATTCTCTGGTTTACTGCCTAAACACCTGTAATAGTCACGGCTGCACCGGTTGAATCTGAGAGCCCAGAAGTCGCTTCTGGTCCCCAGAGGAAAAGACTGCAGACAGATCTGAGTAAGTCCACCAGTCGCTCATGCAGTGGCTGGAATCTGGATACTATTGTATCTGAAGCCAATATCTATAAATTTTTGCCATCTGGTTGAAAGGCTTAATTGACTAATTTCATCATTAAGCCACTAAGAAGAGGCTAACTTTTTTTTTTCTTAAAGGGAGAGGGGAGCATCTTTTCACGAGGCAGCCCCTGAGCGTCTGCCTGCATCCTACTTCCAACTTTGGATTCCCTCTGAATGAGTCAGGTAGACTCTTTGGACACCTGTTTCCTTCTGAGGCTGTGCAGATTTACCAGAGTATCATTCAGTTAAAAAGTGAAGGCTTTGAAGTTAAGACTTACTTTTTGGTTATCTACTAGGAGATTTTCCAGAACACCCCTCTCCCAGGCCCTTACCCTTTGATGTCTTCTAATTTACCTTCTGCTTTAGCCTTTTCTGTTGAATTTCTCTCCCATTGGGCCCCATTTATCTCCAGTGGCTGGAGCCCCTTGAGGGAAAAGACCATTTGCTTTTACTTGTTTGTTTTGCTTGCTTTTTTTTTTTTCCTTTTTATTTTCTTTCTTCCTTCCTCTCCTCCCTCCCCCCTGGAGGAGCTACTATTTGAAAGGCAAAGTGATAAAAAAAAAAAAACAGAGACCAAGAGAGATTATCTACCTGTTGGTTCTGTCTGCAAGTAGCCAGAAATCCCAGGAATTGGGCCCAGGCTGAAAATTGGGACCAAAAATTCTGTTCAGGTCTCCTTCGTGGGCAGCGGGAGCCCGCGTTCCTGAAACACGTCCTGCTGCCTTTCCGGGTGTGTTAGCAGGAAGCTGCGTGGGAACTGTACTCCAGCATGGCATGCTAGAGTTGCAAGTGGTGACTTACCCCACTTCACTATGACATAGGCCCCATTTGTAAATTCATCTTGAATTCTCAATACTTGCCATACAGGTAGATGTGACAGCAGAGTGCCCACAGCACTGGCATCCCATATGGACACCAGTTTATGTTCTGCCTGCCCCACATAAGATGCAGCTCCAGGATCATAGCCTACAAAAGCAGTGGAGAATGCTCAAAGTTCTTGGGTCACTGTACCCATGTGGGAGATCTGGAAGAAGTTGGCCCAGTTTTGGTATTGCAGCCATTTGAGGAGTGAATCAGTGGATGGAAGATCTCTCTGTCTCCCTGTATACTCTTTCAAATTTTAGAAAGATCATGCAATTATATATATATATATATATATATAATATATTTGTCACTGTCCCTGGAACAAGAACACAGTTCAACAATAAATTCTGAGGCAGTAGCAAGTAGGTTATACTCCATTTATGACACCTTCATCCCATTGCCCAGTGCCTTTCCATCAGCTGATCCGCATTGAAGTATAGCTTGTGTACTCACATGGGGGTCTTGAAGGGACTTCTGGGCTCATTACAGAATCAGAAATTACTGTAAGATGGGGTCAGAAACCAAAGGAAGCAGTGGCTTAGGCAGTGCTTTAAAAAAAAAAAATAAAAAGGAGCAGGGTCTAACTAGGGAAATGAAGTTCAGTGCACAGAGAGACCAAGTTTTGGCCTTGGAAAGTACTGGACAGATGACACAGGTCCATGGTACTTATCTTGTTGCTGCATGTGATGCATGACAACCAGGACACAGCTCACCAGCTCTGCAGTTTATAACCAGAAGGTCAGATGGTCCAAGGAGAGAAACGAAAGAAGATGCTAGGCAAAGCTTCCCAAGAGCATCTCAGGGGATCTAAATACATAAAACAAAATTTTAGAGCTATTGATTCTTTTCTATCTTCACTTTAAAGATAAAAAAAAAAAAACATGAAATCAGTGATGTTAAGAGATGGTTTCAAGGTCACTCTAATGCTTAGTGACACAGTGATCCAAAGATACAAAATTGGATTGAGGATTTCTCTCTCCCCAAATTCAGTTGACATTCATTGGAAAGTTATGGGGCTGGTGTGCTACTTCTGGTCCAAGTTCCACTGTGCCACTTTCAATGCAGCTCCCTGCTAGTGTGCTTGGTAAAGCAGCAGAATATGGTACAAGTCCTTTGGCTCCTGTATGCTTATTTGACCTGGCTCAGCCCTGGCTGTTGCAGCCATTTGGAGAGTGAGCCAGCGGATAAAAGCCTCTCTTCCACTTCCTCTCTCGCAGTAACTCTAACTTTCAAATAGATAAAATTAACCTTTTTTTAAAAAGTTATGAATTGCAGAAATGTGCCTGTGGCTTCCTAAGACAATTTTGGAAAGAAAATCCTTCCAAGGTTCAGAGCAAAATAACAATGGTAATGACTTGGGACTTGCTGACTCTGGACCTATACTATGCCATTCATCTAGCCACGAAGACACATGAGCCCTGAGGAGGTTCCTGCGTGGCTGTGGGCACGGAAGTTTCCTGTCCTTGGCATGTCTCACTCCAAAGTGCCTTTTAGGATTTAAAAAAAAGCCAAAAAAGCCAAAAAAGCAGAATTAATAATATGAGTTTATTTTGGTGGGAAAACTTTTTTGGTATGAAAATGTTTCATATCATGCAGAAAATACATATTATGAATAACCTGTAGATGAATTTCAAATTTTATCTTCATTAACTGGAAGACACACATGCACACACAACCCCCCCCCCCCACACACACACAGAAACACTTCATTCATTGACTCATTCATTCAATATCTATTTATCAACTACTGTTTAAAAAATTCAAAGGGAATACCAGGAATGAAATTTCTCCTTCTGTGGACTTCTAGAACCTAGCAGTAGAGACAGAAAATAAGTAAGAAATTACTTATTTTAACCAAGCTTGGTTTTAATCGCTGTCACAAGATAATTCCAAATGATGTCTACATGCCAATGAACACAAACACACACATTCTCATATACACATATGACAACTAGTATTATTAACCAGGAGAGACAGAACTGGATAAAAGGAGTGATGAGTGCTGCTATTTTAGATATTTCAGTGA